CAGGCTAGATTGAGCTGTCTGTATTTTTGCTAACTCTTCTGCCTTAACGATGCTTGTTTCCAATGGAATTTGTAGTTTGTGCTTGGATCGGTTTATGCAAAAAATATTAATAATTTTTGGAAGTAGTGTTTGCAATCTCTTTGGAGGTTTATTGATTGGCCACCAATTTTAGCTTGTAAAGATGTATGTGCTGAATTGCAGGAGCTCTTCTCAGAAGCTGGTGACCTGAAACGCTATGCTATACATTATGATAGGAGCGGGAGATCAAAGGTATATTATTAACCTAGACTATGCACTTTAAAGGAAAACAATGTGGTTCGGCTGAGATTAATGGAACTGCTTCTTCAGGGAACGGCTGAGGTGGTCTTCTCACGTAGACAAGATGCACTAGCTGCCGTTAAGAGGTACAACAACGTTCAGCTTGATGGGAAGCCAATGAAGATTGAAATTGTTGGGACCAACATTGCCACTCCCGTTGCCCCTGCTTTCAATGGTACTTTTGGTTTTGGAGACGCTAATGGAGGTCCCAGAAGGTATGATCTGTTATTCACCAGGACGTTGTTAAATTGGTTTTCTGAGCTTTTCTATTTAGCTCTTTGATGATAAATGAAAATAGGCTTTGATAAGATTGAAACTCTAAGTGAGTGCTGGTTGCTTCACGTGTGGAAACTCCTTTTATGCACTACCCACTCCTTACTCCTTAGAAAGGTCATGGAAGAAGTGTATATATTTGATTTTGGAGCACAATTTTGTTCATTTTTTCTGGGTGCTACTTCTAGCATCAAGTTTTAAAACGATTTGAGAAGACTGGTAATTCTAGTTCGGCGGTATAAGAAATTCATGTATGTATGAACAAAGTGGAGAAATTAGCTAGTTTGTCTGAGTCCACTTCAGTTGAAGCGAAACAAGACAATGAATTAGGGAAAAATGATAAATGGGAGGTCGGTGTTAGACACTTAAATTGGAGCTGATCTTGTGGGTAGATCATACAGAGGTATCTTATCGAAACAACTATCATGCAAAGTTATCGGGGAATGTAAGCTTTATTTGGCTGCAGGAAAGGAGAAAATTGAGTATAAAGTGGGAGTTAGTAAGCTTTTTTAGAAACCTTTCAAAGTTTAGACTAGTTTTAGTATTGTTTGTTTTAAATCTGTAATGGAGTTTTTCATTTGGGTTCTTCCTCTCTTTTGATGTTGTTTAACGTAGTTGTATTAATAATTGGATAATGAATATATGGAATTAGTTTCTATTCAATGCTTCTAATCATAATTCATTTGTGGTAAAACAGTTTTCAAGCAAGAGGTGGAGGCTTCGGGAGGTCACGTGGTGGTAGAGGACGCAGTCGCGGATTTCGAGGAGGCAGCAGAGGACGGGGAAGAGGAGATCGTGGAGAAAAGGTATCTGCAGAAGATCTAGATGCTGATCTGATGAAGTATCATTCAGAAGCAATGCAGACAAACTGATGGGTCCGGTAGCAATGTTTGCCTCTACATCCAGTGCGTAGTGGAGCCAGACTTTCTGTACTTTAGTATTCTTCTCTTTTCAAGTTGCAAGAAAGAAAGTACTTATAGGAAGATTTGAACATTTGCTGTATGGGAATTGAGCTTCTTTTTTATTTGTTCCCTTGATTTGGATTTGTGCTTGGGTGGAGTGATTTGTGTATTCTACCAACTCTTTAGTTTATTTAAGAGCTGGACGATTAGAGTGGAAATGCTTATCCTTGCCCATCCCACGACAATGCTTTGCCTCGACGGTGGCAGACGCCAGCTGAAGATGGTGGCTGCCCTGTGTCTTGCGGTCTGCAAGTGCTTCTTGTAGTCAATAATTTGGGCGTCAATCGTGAGGTAGTTTTTGTCGCTTTGTTCTTGTCCACTGGTTTCACAATTGCAGTCCTTGTGCACTTTGAAGTTTTTTGCTGCAAGTGTCAGACTTAATTTTATTCATGTTGATAATGAGTTCTACAAACTGTTGACTTAGGAAGCAGGTAAGTGGGATCAATTTTGGGTGACTAAAGCTGCCTCCCCTGATGATTTTTTCTTACTTATTGCAAATATATATTTCTACCTTTTATAACATGTTTATAACGAGCTTGAAAAACTGTTGCATTAGGAACAGGTAGGTCGGAACATTGGGTGACTAAGCTGAATCCTTTCAATGATTATGTCTTATTGCAAATACATGGGATGAGTAAGCTGAATGATGGTTCTCGGGGGCCGCAGACTGCTCATCTTGTGGATGATATGTTGATGTCGCTGGAGAATGAGGCTTCGTCCTCTTTCTGTGAACGTGATGTTTGAGTGAGGTGGTGGACTTTCTGCATTTCTACAGCATTATGGAGCTTATGCCCTGTACTGTAGAATTGCTCGAGTTCGCTGTCTTTGCATTTCTTGCAATCTCTTCAAGTCTGGAGCATCATCCGGCATTTCATATTAATTAGGCTGTTGGTAATTGAAATTCAACGACTAGAAACTTGGATCATTGAGATGAATATGCATTCTGCTATGTCCTGATTCAAAAATCAAATTTTCTTGGTTTTTTCTCTGTTATGGTCTTGCTCGGACAATGTATATTAGCCGCCCTGTAGATATGCTGATTATCTACTGGGTGATGTGTCAACTGATACTTCCTTGTGAATGGCTGTGGTGCTAAAGATGGCATATTGACTCCCTTAAAAGGCCTGAAATATATATGCTGAGATATGAAAGGTGGCTGATGGTCATCAATGGATCTCTTGTAAAGGTGTTTGTAGCTCGCACAACCATGTTTCTGGAGCGGTTTGCGCTTTGTTTTTGATTGCCTTTTATCGAAGCTGTTTGCAGCGTGTCCAAACAACAATCTGGAACAGATTAAGGAACAATGAAGTTTCTTTCTTTCTCTTTTTAGTTGCGGGTCTAGTTCATATTTAGGAAGGTAGTAGTTTACGAGGAATATTTATCTTCCTTGCGATTGCAGTTTATAGGTGCTTTCTTGTGCATTCTTTCGGTGGTGATTACCTTCACCTTCGGCAGAGTAAAAAACTTGCACATTATGTAAGGTTCGCAGTATTTGGCAATGGGCTTCTAGTGAATTATATGATGATTTTTCTGCCAGTCCACACCTAGCAATAATATCGTAAAAATTGCACTGGTCGTCCCCATTTAATCTATACGTATATTTTTAAAATTATTTAACATATACCCTAATTTTAACAATTTCAGACGTCTCCTCTTCTTCCTCCTGACCTATGCACTCCTTTCTTCCTCCTCTTCTTGTCTATCAAATTAACTTTTCAACCACTATTTTAATATATTCACTAATAAAATGTGAAGTCAAATTAACAACTTAACCTACATTTGATCAAATACTGTCATAAAATAACAAAACAGAGTATTGTTATTGTTCTCTATTTGAATTCAGAAACCCTGTCAACAGAATGTAAAACGTGGGCTTCTGCAAATTTTACAATCCTTTATTTTGCAAGCTCGAGATACAAATTCAAATGCATCGAGAGCGCAACAGATACTCTCTGTTTATCTCATACTGAATATACATAAGTTCCAAATCCAGTATGAAGAACATGAAGAATTCCCCATGAGGTAAAGCCCGATGTGATGCTAAACCAACTCTTAGTTACACTGAAAAGTTAATTTGTCTTAAAGTTTGCACTACAAATTGAAGATCAGACTAATTTGTCTGAAGTTTGCACTATGAAATCACGGAAAACTGAAGTTTTCCCTTGCACAGCACTATGAACTGAAGTTTGCGTGATTGCCTTTACAAGTCAGGCCAAACTTCAGGCAAAAATATCTGAAATTTTGCTTTGATAAGGTTACACTTCAGGCAAAAAATTCTGAAGTTTTAGACCAAAGCAATCTCCTTTCTAGTCTAGTCTAGGCTTCTAGCNCCGACCCGCGGGAGTATACAATGACAATGTCGGGGCATGAGTGCCCGATCGTGAGACTACCTGTTGAACGTCCGATGGCACCTTGCTCCGACCTGAGCTATGCAACAACGAGATCTCCCTTGATCCTTGCCGTATGTGCTTGACGGCCCCCCATAAGACGCTCACGTCTAAAGACTAGATGCTGTAGGGTACGTCTTAAAAGTGCTCCTCCACTACGTCGTGCCTTACGTCAAGAGGTGGTCGAGATGGCTATGAGACTAGTGCAAACAATATGTTGAAATAGTAGATTTAACTTCAGACATAAATTTTTGCTACTTCAGGCCCGTATGCATGAAGTTACCCGAAAAGTGGGTACGCTTGCAATTGTTTTTACAAAGCGGGTATAGATTAAAATGTGATCCAAAAATTGGGTATAGATGCAAATCCCCCAATAATATCGCCGCTACATCCACTTCTGATCCTTTATTAAGAAAATTAATGCAATTTTATGTTTGTTAAAATAGTCTTGAATTGAATTTTTCTTTTCTTTACCTGATTCATTTAAAAGAAAAAGGCACAATGTGCGAGTTAGTGCACTTACAATGCGGCAAAATATGAGAAAGCAGAATGCTTTTACAATTCCAAAACTAACCAAGAAACAAAAGAGTACTTGTGAAAATGTTTTTTGGATCATCTTAGTGACGTATGTAGCCATGTAGGTCATTTTGTTCTTTTAGGCTTTCATCTCGAGTTATTCATCCAAATTTAATCACGGACAAATATTCTGCTATTTTCTGTGCACGTATGAGTTGAGAATAATCACGATTTCCGTAAATTTACACCATCGTCACCGTTGAAAACAATAATCCCCCAAACGTCCTAATTACATGCAGGAAAAAAGCTTTGATACATCAATGACCTAATTTCTGGCTAAAACATACAACACAACACTACCCCACACCAGCTAGATGTAGAACAATTGGCGCGACATCATTGCTCCTTTGGCCTCCTCACTTTATCCCAACTTGAAAATATTAACCTCAAAAGTGAATAAAATATAGCCAGTATGCACGACTTCATAAAATTCCAAAATGAAGAAGGCCAATACCAAGGATACAGCAAGCGGAAAAAGAGACTTATGATATGTCGAGGGTATCGTCCAACCTGAAACAACACATTAACGCATGTTATTAATAAAACATAACATGACCAAAAATAGGAGCATTGGGATCAGAGGCGGAGCTAGGGATTTAAGTGTGTGAGTTCTAAATTTTAAAATAAAACATTGCTTTCAGGGGGAATCGAACCCCCATCTTTTCCAGCAAACCCACAACCCTTTACCGTTGAACCAAGACCCATTTTGTTACTGGGTTCGGCAGTATATATTTATATAGATTTAGTAAATATTTTAATACAAATATAGGGTTCCGGAAAAGTCACTGGGTTCGCCCGAACCCGCACCCACAACTGTAGCTCCGCCCCTGATTGGGATAAATCTTCCCAATGTTCTCTAACAGCTATCATATGCTTCCATGTTCAAAATGAATTTCATTCAACATTTACCATGGCACTGGCAAAATAATTGAAACAACTTTTCTAACTAGCCATCTTTTTCATGCCATCCGCTTATAAAATATCACCAGGGTCAACCACAGAGTAGGTTTATCTACTTCTTGTCTGGACTTCACCAACGGAACTCAAAAACAAAAAAAAAAGAAGCAAGAATGCTACACCAAGGATTTGAACGTGTAACTAACAGTAATTTTTGAACTACCTTCAGCACTACACTAGAATCACCCCTCATGTCAAGGGGATCCAACAATTTATATATATGCAAAAAATTTGTCGTTGACCTCTTTGCACAGTGTAGGACTCAATTGAATCCCCTAGTGTCCTTAGCTCCGCCCCTGTTCATTATTGTTCTGTAATTCTTTATCTGCTTGTTAGGTACATTGTGCATCAGGCTACTTCGCCACACACCAAGAATTTTATGACAAATAAATACATCTTTATTAATCCATAAAATGTCTGAAGTACGAGAGAAGTATTCTTCATCGAATATTTTGGTTTGAAATGATATCAAATCATAAGTCTATTCCAATAATAGAAAGATTACTCACAGGATATAGCAAATCTAATGCATCCCATGCTGCATGGCGAACAGCTCTTGTTGGGTACATGGGAGCACCTGGTGACGTGAAGCTATACAAGCAAGTTTTCAATCTTGTACTGGTAGCCATTCTCAACTCTAATCCTGCAGAGATGTCACTGTAATGTAACTCCAAACATTTTGGAAAACCCGCACTATTGCAGACACTCAAATTAGCAAGAACTAGCTTTACCTTGAAGGACTTTCAATTGGGAGAGGTAATGCAACAATACTGGCTCCACTTTTAGTTTTTGAAGCTGAAATCAGAACTGTAAATGAGAAGCTACACAGGGAAAATGAAGGAAAAGACTCTGGGGATGTTGAAGATCCTGTTCTCTTACCTGATCAGCTAGTTCAGTTACAAATATATCTGCTGGACCACCAATCAAGAAAGCATTTGGAAAATCAGGAAATTGCCTTAAAAAACTTTCTAGCCTGTCAGCTGCAAATAGATTTAACATAAGCATGTAATCTCAACCTTGTATGCAAGGTTACAGCTAAGATCAACTTACCTAGGTTATACAAGAATATGAACCTTGAAAGGAGGAGAAATAAATCTCTTTGGGCCTAACAAGATGAAGACAGCGAATGATGTTAGTACACACCCACTAAAATTAGACTTGCTTTGGCACACAGGTAAATCAGAAGGGGAAAACATCAGACCTGCAAAGGGATCTTCTTTAATCGACCCGGAACAAGGGCAACTTCCTCAAGCAGATACTGTAACACACATCCATATAATCAATTGTCACCATTTACCTCCATCGATCTAAAAGCAACAAAAGAAAGCACCAGTGCTACACTTCACTCCCAATACTTCAAAAATAAAAATCAATTCAGGGGTATTTGACCTGAAAAAGACTCTGGAAACGCCTTGTGTTTGTTTGGATGTCGATCCTGCAAAAGGATATGTCAGCCAATCACTTAACACACTTTACTATAATCCCCACACCCCGTTCCCCACCTGTTCTTCTTCACTTATGCACTGTGAAACACATAAAAGGAGCAATAACTACATAATTTCTAAGAAGAAAACCTCTGTCTGACCCTACGATACAGTTTGACAGAAATATTAAGCAGTCTATTTTATGAGCATCAACGGAGTAAATCTCTGAGTGGTGTATATATATTAACGTAGATATGAAGAACACGACAAGGTAAAGAGAGTTGACGATAATGATGTAAAAGCTAAAGTTGATCCAACATGATGATGTATATCAGTCATGCAAGAGAACATGCCTGCAAAGCAATCAATGTCTCAATATTAATCAAGGAAACTCAGGCATGTTGCATAAGGGGAAAGCTTTTACTGAGTGCATAAAGCAACAAGGCCACAAGATTGTTGCATAAAGGAAAGACCCTGTATAGTGAACTTAATCACATTTGACTCTTGATATATCTAGGATATAAAGATTTGTGCCCTTGAAGTAGTAGCAAGCTCAGCACTAGAATGTGTTAGAAAGAGCACACACAGTTAGCTTCCTGAGTT